ACGGCCCCTAACACGACCCATAACACAGCCCCTAATACGGCCCCTAACACGGCCCCTAACACGACCTATAACAACCCCTAACACGGCTCCTAACACAGCCCCTAACACAGCCCCTAACATGGCGCCTAACACGGCCCCTAACACAGCGTCAAACACGGCCCCTAATATGGACCCTTACACGGGGTTTAATACAGCCTCTAACACGGCCCCTAACACGGCCCCTAACACAGCGTCAAACACGGCCCCTAACACGGACCCTTACACGGTCCCCTAACACGGCCCATAACACTGCCCCTAACACGGCTTCTAACACGTCCCCTAACACGGCTCCTAACACAGCCACTAACATAGCCCCTAACACAACCCATAACACGGCCCCTAACACGGCCCCTAACACGGCCTCTAATACGACCCCTAACTCTGCCCTTAACACGGCCCCTAACTCTGCCCCTAACACGTCCCCTAACACGTCTCCTAACACGGCCCCTAACAGCCCATAACACGGCCCCTAACACGGCCCGTAACACGGACCCTAACACGGCCTCTAACACGGTCCCTAACACGGCCTCTAACACGGTCCCTAACTCTGCCCTTAACACGGCCCCTAACTCTGCCCCTAACACGACCCCTAACATGAACCCTAACATGGGCCGTAACTCCTCACCTGAGAGTGACCCCCGAGGCAGCTCAGGCACTACGAGCCCTTTGGTGTTCCTGCTGTTGGTGCTGCTGCTGCTGCTGCTGCTGTTGCTGGGGTGGTGTTGGTGTTGATGCCTTCTGACCAGGAGGCAGCGGACCGTCACCACCATCACCACCAGCCCCACCACCGCCGCCACCGTGGCCACCACCACATAGTGCCCCATCACTACACCTTGCTCTGGACCAGCCTCCGGTATTGCCTCCTCCACTTTCTCGTCTCCTGCAGAAAAAGAGACAAAACAGAATCTTAACAGCTTCTAAGAGGATTTCTGAAAATCCCTCTCATAGTGTAGTCCAAAGAGTCAAAGTACTTCTCAAGAAACTTTGCAACATAATGGCAAATAATTCTTTGAAGATGCTAACTGTGCAGGCGATGAGTCACAATAACGTGGCTGAAGTATGTTGACCAGACCACACACTAAAAGTTGAAGGGACGACGACGTTTCGGTCCGTCCTGGACCATTCACAATCGACTTGAGAATGGTCCAGGACGGACCGAAACGTCGTCGTCCCTTCAATTTTTAGTGTGTGGTCTGGTCAACATGCTAACTGTGTTTACGTTCAGTAATACAAACTTAAATGTTCTCCAGAGCGAGCAAAGAATTATCAAGTATTCTTAAGGTGACATATATTAAATCACAATCTCAATTATAAAACAAAAAACTAATGGCAACAGGGTGGAACTTAACGTGAAATGATTACAGTAAGTTTTTACGAGCGTAAAACAGCGTTCTTGTTACATTATTTTGAGTGTCCAGCTGAGCATTGCAGTCACGTGTGCAACAAATTATTACTTAACTTCTTAGCTGATGAATTTATGTTAGCCTCCAGGGACACGGACACGGCCAAGGAAACTCAGAGACCCGTGACTTAGTTGCCAGCTCGTGCGTGGACGAGCTTGCACCTCACCCGGTTAAAAGATGGGTTGCAACATAACACAGGTTAAAAAAGGTTGCAACATAACACCGGTTAAAAAAAGGTTGCAACATAACACCGGTTAAAAAAAGGTTGCAACATAACACCGGTTAAAAAAAGGTTGCAACATAACACCGGTTAAAAAAAGGTTGCAACATAACACCGGTTAAAAAAGGTTGCAACATAACACCGGTTAAAAAGGGTTGCAACATAACAGGAATTCAGTTAATTTTTTCCATTTGTTTAAAAATTTGGCTGAGGTTTCTTAGACCGATTGACTCAGGGAAATATTGTAATAAATTAAATAGTAACGCGCTTTTTTTCTACAAAGTGGTTATTTCTACTACAACAAAACAATCAGAATAAGGCAATGGGGTGACTTGACTCGGTGTTCTGGTGATTCACAGACACGGGCGTGAACACCATTACCCGCAGACCACAGTGTAGGCGGGCCAGTCGTAAAATCCTGGTTGGGCACCAGTTCGGACCTCCAGAATCTTCAAGTGCATTCAGTACGATTTCGAGTGTGTTGGCTTTGGTCCTAACATAGCTGAGTGGCTTACACCCGGTGTATAAATTGCAACAAGTCACTGATAGTTCGCATTCCTCCATCAGGCGTCTAGATGAATTGCTAGTTTAAGATAAGCACTCCCCCCCTCTCTCTCTCTCTTTCTCTCTCTCTCTCTGTGACGTCATCCGGTGCTTTCTGGTATAAATAAAATGTTCCTAAGTATACCCGTCATGCAAGTGGTGGGTGAGTATGGCTCAATGAGTAATGCTATTAAGGACAGCGATATTACCACGTAAGAGAGCGAGAAACTGAACACAGCGGGGATGAGAGAGATCCTGGATGCGCTCACAAAGCAGGCTCTCGGGCTCACAAGCGCTCATAAGCAAGATCTCAGGTTCACAAGCAGGTTCACAAGCGTTCACAAGCAGGCTCTCGCGCTCACCAGCAGCCTCTCACGCTCACAAGCAGGCTCTCGCGCTCACAAGCAGGCTCTCGTGCTCACAAGCAGGCTCTCGGGCCCACAAGCACTCACAAGCAGGCTCTCAAGCTCACAAATGCTCACAAGCAGGGTCTCGAGCCCACAACTGCTCGTAAGCATAGGGGGCCTCATAGCCTGGTGGATAGCGCGCAGGACTCGTAATTCTGTGGCGCGGGTTCGATTCCCGCACGAGGCAGAAACAAATTGGCAAAGTTTCTTTCACCCTGAATGCCCCTGTTACCTAGCAGTAAATAGGTACCTGGGTGTTAGTCAGCTGTCACGGGCTGCTTCCTGGGGGTGGAGGCCTGGTCAAGGACCGGGCCGCGGGGACACTAAAGCCCCGAAATCAACTCAAGATAACCTCAAGAAGCATGCTCTCAGGCTCAATACCTCTGAAAAGCAGGCTCTTGAGCTCACAAGTGCTCACAAGCAGGCTCTCGAGCTCACAAGCGCTCACAAGCAGGCTCTCGAGCTCACAAGCGCTCACAAGCAGGCTCTCGAGCTCACAAGCGCTCACAAGCAGGCTCTCGAGCTCACAAGCGCTCACAAGCAGGCTCTTTAGCTCACAAGCGCTCACAAGCAGGCTCTCGAGCTCACAAGTGTTCACAAAATATAATAACAGAATGGGTGACAATTGAATTAAGAAAATGCGACTCACGTCCCTAAACGATGACTCGTGTCCCTAAACGACAAGTCGTGTTCACCAGCGTAACATTGTAAGAGGTTTTGGAGGAAGCGGAAATGTTCGAAGTTATTGCATGAACTCCGTTTAGCCTATTGACTAAGAGGTTCGTTAATCCGAGCCAGCGCCCAGTATTACGAGGCTGTTAACTTCACTCGAGTCACCGGCTAAATGACGAGTTTACCCATTGTGTTACAGCAGCCGAACATTCAATGTGTAGTCCAGTTAGCTATACAATTAGTGTGCAGTATAGTGACAATAATAAATATAGAACACTCACGATAACAATGAACTCTCGGATGTTATATACATGATAGTTCGCCTCGGTTTAGAACTAACATGTATCGTATTGCAAATCAGTGTATACATGATACAGGCTATAGATACATTTGATGGAATGACACGTACTGCAGAATTACGAACAAAAATCCTTTACCCAATCATAGAGACAATCACTATGCAGCTGAGAATACCCAGCGTATGGGTTCGAATGCTATTCAAGGCTGCTGTGGATTTTCTCAGAGAAAATTACATTAACTGATGGGTAATTACGATGACCTGATCAGGGACACACACCATGGGTCTGATGACCTGATCAGGGACACACACCATGGGTCTGATGACCTGATCAGGGACACACAACATGGGTCTGATGACCTGATCAGGGACACACACCATGGGTCTGATGACCTGATCAGGGACACACAACATGGGTCTGATGACCTGATCAGGGACACACAACATGGGTCTGATGACCTGATCAGGGACACACACCATGGGTCTGATGACCTGATCAGAGACACACAACATGGGTCTGATGACCTGATCAGGGACACACACCATGGGTCTGATGACCTGATCAGGGACACACACCATGGGTCTGATGACCTGATCAGGGACACACACCATGGGTCTGATGACCTGATCAGGGACACACACCATGGGTCTGATGACCTGGTAAGTGACACACAACATGGGTCTGATGACCCATGAACTTGATGATCCTGGTTCCGGTGTTGTGACGATGTCGATCTGCAAGTATGTCGAGGTGTTGGTCGATTTGAGTACAGAGGTCTTCGTCGATGTTGGTGTGTCTCCATTGGTCTGTAGCATGAAGTAAGTAAGTAATTATCAAAAAGAAGGCACCAAACCGGGAAGGCTATATAGCACCATCAAAGTGCGAAATAATCAGAGGGCGCTAAATATCACCATGAATGCCAATACGAGAACAGAAACGCATAAGGCGACCGATATCAAAAGTATCCGATTCACCAAGAATTCTATCAAGGGACAAGTGGCTGCGACGGACGGTCGGAAAGCAAGACACACACACACGTCCTGGAAGTCAGGACATTCAACAAGGATATGCACAACTGTAAGAAGGACAACGCAATTTGAACAATGAGGAGCCGGGCGGCGCTCCATTAAGTGACCGTGAGTTAATCGAGTATCGCCAATTCGCAACCTTGCTAGAGCAGTTTCCCACTGCCAGTTACGGTGGCAGTAGGAAGGCCACACGACACACTACGTTTGAGAGTACGCAGCTTGTTACCAACTACAGAAGACCAACAACCCAGCCAACGGGCAAGGATGGAGGAATGAATAACCAGGTAAACGTCGTAATAAGGAATACCTTTGCAGGAAACAGGACAAGAGCAGATAGCCTCTCCAGCGGCAGCATCCGCATGCTCATTTAAAGAAACATGAATATGGCTGGGAACCCAGCAAAACTCTATTGATTTAAATTTACTAAAAAAAGAAACAGCCAATGTTAAACCTCGATGACCACCGGATGGACAGGATTAAAGGACCCTAGAGCAATGAGGGCCCTACGAGAATCAACCTTCAACCACACCACAAAGGAGGATTGACAATGAGAAAGCAAGAGACAGAGAGCATAGATAATAGCATAAAGTTCTGCTGTGAAGATCCTAGCCTAAGAAAAAACCCAGAATAGCCCACACCGTTCACAGACTTAGACCCATCGGTGAAGATGGAAACAGAGTGGCAGTGCGAAGATGAGTGCTCAAGGAAAAGGTGTTTCAAAACATTTGGAGGGGTAATAGCTTTAGTGATGCGGGTCAAGGATGTACGAAACTTTGGAAGGGGGACTGTCCATGGGGGCAAGGAAGGAACAATGCGAGGAGAAACATTAGAAATACGAACAGAAAGAAAATCCTGTAAGAGAGATAGTCGGACAAAAAGAGGGAGGTGATGAAGAGGAACAGAGACCACAGGAGAGGTTGAAGTTAAAGCACGACAGAGTCGAGAGGAAGGATGTTGTAAGGACCGCGCAAGATAGGTAAGACACTAACGATCACGGCAGTCCTGGAGAGAGAGGAAGCCAGTGTCAACATGCAAGCTGAGGGCGGGAGTCGAACAAAAGGCACCAGAGCTGAGACGCAACCCAGTATGGTGCAAAGCATCAAGACGGAGAAGAGTAGAAGGAGAAGCAGAAGAGTATGCAGGGCAACCATAATTGAGTTTAGACAGGACGAGAGAGGAGTGCAAATAGAGGAGCGTGCGCCTATCCGCTCCCCAAGAAGTATGGGACAAAACCTTAAGTAGGTTAAGGGCCTTAGAGCATTCAACTCAGAGGTAAGAAATATGGGGTGACCAAGACAAACGTTTGTC